AAACGCATTACTACTTCACGGCAGAAATAGGCAGGGTGGTAGTACCCACCCGTGTGGACTCACAAGAGGTCCTACCACCAGTAATTACGCAAATTATAATTTTGAGGATTTCATTTTTATTACACGATGTTATTCCTTCACCGTGGAAATCAATCGTGAACATTTGTTGAGTACGTATTTCATTACAAAAATTGGTACCAGCGTGATATTCGAACACCGGTGCATCGCTCAACAAGATTGCACCGGACGTCCGTTAGGCAACGACGACTTTAAAAATATAAAATAAAAAATAAATAAAAAATTAAAAAATTTCGGCGTTAATTTTTCGCGGCGAAAACAACTAAACTCATTTAATCACTGTACTATTCGCCGCGACTACCGCTCGACTCCGTGGCTCGCGCCGTCCGTATTCATGCATTTGTTTTGCTCGCCCGCCGCATCGCGCGATTCGCTCGGTACATTTCGCCGGTCGCTTCGCCAGTCGCCGGTGCGCGTGGCTTGTTAGGTACATTTCTATGCGCTTATTTTAGTCGCTAGACGCTTCGCCGTTCGCACCGCGCGAATATTCGTATCGGCGAATGTCCCGTGGCCAGGCTGTAATGGTGGTAGTACCTGTCCGCACGAATAAGTACCACCATCCTGCCATTTCTACTGAAGCAATCATGCGTTCCAGTTTAAAGTCTTTACAAAACAAAAAATTATACAATGCAACTGAAACTTCAATACCATATCTTAATGTGGCGGCATTCACGTTGTGAGTCTATGGACTTCGGTAACCACTGACTCTAGGTCGGCCGTGAGCTCGTTACCCCATCTAAGTGAAACGGTGCGAAATAGAGCAATTAGGGATGCCACTTCCAGGTTAGAAAAAAAATATTTGTAATAATTTTGTTGCGTTTAAAAAAAACAGCGCATTCACGGCCTATCTAAAAAAACGGCGAAAGTTACTGTAAAAAAAACTATGTGCGAAACTTACTGTCAAATATTCATTAATATTAAATTATGAAATTATGAACTGACATAAAGAATTCTTGAAGTTTTTAGGTTTTCGATAATATAAATTACTAGCTGTTACCCGTGGCTTCGTTCGCGCGATAAAGGAAAAGCGTCAGTGTATTGGGAATGAGATGTTCAACGTTACAGTAGAGCAAACCCAATTTCAAATTTACAAAATTAAACAATAAATAAATTGAAATTGAATGAAATGAAAATATAAAAAAATATAAAACAAAAATCAGTCAGAATTCATATTCAATGGGTTTCACCTATTTTCAACGGCAACTATGCTGTTTTATATCCAAAATCACATATGTTGCAATAACTTTCGATGTTTTCCAAACGACGCGTCATCTGTTCGGATAAAAAAAACTATGACGCAGTTTTTATTGCGAGGCACTGAAATTGACGCAAACCGCGACGAACCAATGAAAACATCCTACACGTGCCATGGGGGAAGGTCACTTTAACTAGCCCTTGCATTACCTTGGAAGTTTAACTAAGCAACTAACTAAACAATTCAACAATTAAGATGATATTTAACATTAATTGGCGCTCAGTCGAAATGTGTGGTTATTAAAATTGATGTTAGAGAATATTCTTGAGGAAACATCAAATTATTTTGAATACTTTCAAGTCAAACTTTAAGTCACACGTCAGGCTTTTAATCAGAAAAAGCGATGACGGCCTCCTTGGACTGCTAGTGCTAGTGCGTTATACGACCATTGGCGTATTGGCATATCTAAGCATAGTAGCTTTATTTTATTTCCCTTGTAGGCAGACGAGCACATGGCCTACCTGATGGTTACCGTCTCCCATGGACGTCAGCTACGTCAGTGGCAGGGCTAACATTCGGTCTTGGAAGTCTCTTGTGATATTTAAAACAACGCATTTCTCTAGCGCCTAATTGCAAACAAAGATTGTAGGAAGAAATCTTGTCCCTATGATAATTAATTGGATTTACAAGTTGTCGGGATGAGGTCTGTGAGTTTTCGGTATACGAATTTTGCTCAACATAACGACGAGTTTTCACAAATAAAATAATTCCCATTTTTAGACCTTTGAATATTTTACGGAACCTTGGCGTTAATTTGCCGGCCATTCCAATCCACTTTTCTGTTTTATTAAACGTAAGTATCTATAAATCTTAGCATGAATCCCAATGAAGGGCGAAATTTATAAAAACAAAATTCAAATAAAACGTAATTAATAAAATTTCACTATTATGGTTTTATCTTGTGTTTATTCATTTTTTTATTTCTGTTTTGAAAACTAATATCCGTGGTCAGACTTTTTGGCGGGAACGCGAGGAATGATGTTGTGTGATTTGTTTTATTTAATTTTTGTCTATTTAGTGTTTCTTTGGGTTTAAATGTGTAATAATGGTGGTTTATTAACTGTTTAATATCTGTGAAAGTGCTCAAATGTGGGAAAATAAAACAAAGCCGCTGGACGTAACTTCTCGGGATCCTCCAAAAAATCCACTGAAATTTTTTTAGTAAATGACCACCATTTTACGGAGATTATATTTCATCCCATTTCATTTCATTTAATTTCATCCCAGTTGATTAATGTCTCGAATTAATCATCTTCATTTCATTTCACTCCATAATATCATTTTTCATAAAAATATGAATATAAATTAAAATAAGACTTAAAATGACTTAAAGGTCTCAGTTACCAGGTCATAAAATCCCTTAAAAAAATATCCGTGGTCAAGGGTTGTCAGCATTCGGAAATCTACAAAATGCTACATATAACTAACCAGACCAACGTTTCATTCAAGAGTTGGTTAATTCATTGAGTTTTTTTATTTACGATGCAATAAATTTGATCCCACGCAAATAGCTCGGCTTCATTTCGAACGATCGCCCACGACCGTCGAAAAAGGTCGCAACAGACACCGCCTGGTATATACAAATCCTGTGCCCTTATGTGGGTGTGAATATGTTATGTACAACATCAAAACACGTGCCTCGTGAAATCAAACTCACGAACAATGGAACGATTTAAAATTATTGTACAAAGGTCGCACTATTATTTCCGAGTAAAACAGGTAAACAATAATTACATGACAGTGAGCGTAGGTTAATCGTTTCGGACTTTTTTTTTCCCTACCTAGCTGAGAGCCTTGAGAGGCTATTTCAGCGTAACCTTAACTAGTAGACGAGCTCATAGAGCTAAAACCTAACGACGTTGCTAACACGAACCCTAGCAAGAGCCGTGCTTCGCAGAATCTACCACCGGATCGGAAACGCGACCCACTGAGAAGATCCGGCGAGAAACTCAGTGGGCTGTGTGTCTGAGGGTTAATTTACTCGTCGAGCCCTTCGTCGAAAGCGACGGGTTCGACGAGAACGATGACCGCTGCTTGAGGTACCTAAAAGCACCGTTAATGGATCGGGAGGATCCGAAATGACGTGTTTGGGGCGACGTCGACTGCTTCCCATTCTGTCTGCAGGATCGGGAATGTAGTTTCCGGCGGCCACGATGAGAAGGTTCTCGTGTCGTGCCGCTTTATCTAAGTGAGTTTCGGACGACAGCGAACAAGTGTAGCTCAAAACGTAGCAACGAGTAGATATTTGATAGCCACGAATGACACCGTTTGTTAATACAAGGATTATCGGACCGTCCACACTATTAACGACTGTTGTTTTATAAATAGTTCTCCCTATTTTTCATGACAATAACAGTAGACGTTGTTAACTAAAAATTGTACGTACGATTAACGATCCTTTACAATTTTCAATACAAATCTGGTACTTACCTCGTTTATGTGTTTGTAAGTTTTAATGAGGTCGACGCTAAGTTTCCGTAGCGGCGCTGTCGAAGGATCCCGAAAGTGATGTGGTATTCTGGCTTGCATAGCCTAGGCAGAAGAAATAAACGAAATCAATAGATTTGGAGATAATATAGTATTGGCAATGTGAAATTGCAAAGCAAGCGGATTGTCGAGAGCTAAACATATTACACTAAATAATAAATAAATAAAACTACTAACTACAAAGTATAAGTTTAAGTTTGGTGTAATATATATTATTATAATGAACAAAATAAAAAATATTAATAGAAGAAAATAAAACAATTACGCAATTGCCAATCTACATTCCACAACAAAAAGTGCATGATGTATGATAATACACGAGACGGTTTGTGTAAACACTCATTCAACGGTGTGAAAATTATAAACAATCGACTCACACCTGATATAGCGCAGTTCTCATTCAGTACTATCCTGAACTAACGTACTGTGATGCATTCGAAATGAATTGTATGAGATAAGAAGACCCATGTTTTCATGAGAATCTTAGTTTGCATCATTTATTAACTAGAATTTAGGAGCATCGTGTTCCAAAACTGATCCTCAACGCGGTCTGAACTAATGATTCGAAATGTTGTCATATCGATCCGTACTCTTTGCGTATTGGACAAAAGCATACTAATGTTAGAGCGAAAGAGAGCGCACTTGTAATCGGTAATTAGTGGCACTTCATCGATTAATTTATTTTGCAACTTGCGCGTAATGTCTAGACGCGACCGGTTAATGGCTCTTTTAAACAAACAGAAGGTACGTACGTGTGTTACATGCGAATTTGGGGTCTTGAAATTTTTATGTAATTTGATATCTTGCTACTTAAATCGTCAATTGTTTAAATGCACTTTTTAATGTACATACACACATTTATTTCGCGATCAAGTGATTTCCTCGAAGCTGATTTTGGTATTTTAGTTCCGGTGTCTCGCGTGTTTTAAACCGGCAAACTGCCTCGTGCATCATTTACCTTAGTGGGGGTACGGTAGCAGCAGAAAGCTCGAGGGTTGCGCACTACGGCGCTCACCTGAATGTCTGAAGGCGCGCTCATGGACGCGAGCTGTTCTTCAGCCACCAGCCGGCCATACAGCGGCACGTGCCGCCTCTCGCCACCGGCGGCTTCTGGCATGCCGCCGCCGACAACGCCCACTGTAACAATCACAAACAATTACAATACCGAACTACTTCTTATCAGCCCACAGACGTCCACTGCTGGACATAGGCCTCCCCCAAGCCTCGCCACAAAGACCGGTCTTGCGCTGCCTGCATCCAGCGGATCCCCGCGAACCTCAATAAATCAATTCAGAAATGAGGAGATTCACAGGAAAACCATGGCAACCGACATAGCCCAAAGGATTGCGACATTGAAGTGGCAGTGGGCAGGACATATTGCTCGTAGAACGAATGGCCGTTGGGACCAGAAAATCCTTGAGTGGCCACCGCGTACCGGAAGAAGTATAGTGGGTAGGCCTCCCACAAAATGGACAGACGATCTATACCGAACTTACATAAAAAAAAACGTTTTATTTTAAGGGGGCCCTTATATCGTTTTGTACAATTTACCATTGATCTAAAACAAAATTTTATCAATCTACGTAATACCAACTTATCCTATCGGGTGTAACAGCTTTTTACAACTGATCACAGCCCACACGCCCACACCAGTCCCAAATAAAATTCAAATGTAAAGGTGAATGAATGATGACTTAGATATACACGACATAGCTTTTATGGAGATGTATTGAAACAATTAAATTTTTTTGGCGCTCGGGCAACACAATAATAGACAATTTCACTGAATTGATCCGTGTCGTCAGTAGAGGGTAATTTGTACCTAGCAATTGGTAGTAGGTATTGAAATAGATAAATAATAGTATGAAGACGTTCAAGTATCACTAAACAGACTTAGGGGGGTTGCTACATGCTACCTTTGCCAGCATTGCGATCGAGGGATTATAGTCTATTGCGATGTTAAAAATGAAAAAGATTTATAGCTCTATTTATTATTTATATGACTTCTACTCTTTGGGACGTTCCGTGACACGCCTTGTAGTAGAAGTTGACTGGAAAAAGAAGCGTTATGTTCTCTACACAGGACTTTCTCTCGCTGTTTCTTATCTATTACTAGCGACCCGTCCTCGCTTCGCTTTGGAAACTGTAATTTATAATTGATTTCTCCACTATTTAATGGATGTTATTATAAATATAAACCTTCCTCTTCAATCCCTCTATCTATTAAAAAAATCGCATCAAAATCCGTTGCGTAGTTTTAAAGATTTAAGCATACATAGGGATATAGAGACAGGGAAAGCGACTTTGTTTTATACTATGTAGTGATGATACGCGTGCGTGGGCAAGATTTGAGCAAAGAGTATTTATTATGCGCGGCCATTTACAATTTATTATAAATAAATATATTCCTTTTGTCTTTTTGAAAATAAGAAATCTTATACCAAAATAATATACCTCAAAGGTCACTCAAGGGCCGTTATTTTTTGAATTATTTCAATATTGTACCAGGAATTTATATTTACTTTTTACAGGAAAATAAATCAGTATCGAGTGTTGACATGTTAGTGACCTTTATACATTAGCAGAAATTCGATTCTGGGAATTCCCTACGTAGTGTCATGATATATAATAAAACAAATTAATGCATTTCGGACCCGGACGATTAGGTCGCTGCACATTTGATCGTAATAATTAATAACTTTAAAAACCTCTTTTAATCGAATTAATATTAATCCAATAATTGGACAACCGAATTCTATGACATCGTTATAATATTATCATCAGCTTCAGATAGCATACAGCCGATTGTAGGCCAACCTCATGGGCCTACGGAAATGGCTCGAAGCCTTCCACTTTTCTAAAAATGTAGAATCTTAAGTAGCACTAAACGAAGATTCTGATTCCCTTTACGCAGTTTTCAGTGTAGTAAGAATACCAAACAATCAATGATAACGCGAATCCTATAAAAAATATCCAGGTAAAATCTGAATCCAAGCTGTTATTATTATCATATGAAATTTGGCGTTAGACGCAGAGGCCGCAGACAAGTTAACACGTTGACTGCGGGACTATTTTTGAGAAACTTTCAGCCAGTGTGTATGAGATCTTTCGTGGCAAGATTAGACCTCTTTACAGTGTGTATGAGACCTCACACTGAACCGTTTTTTTAATATACCCTTCCGATAGTACATATTCGTCTCCCTCATCAATCGAAAGAACGCGATTTTGACTGCCTCACCAAACAGTCACGCATGGGGATTTTTAAATGGCATAATACAATCAAAGTGTTAATTCGGTCTTTTTATGTATCATCTGGTACATTGTAACATTTTTTTTATTTATTGCTTAGATGGGTGGACGAGCTCACAACCAACCTGGTGTTAAGTGGTTACTGGAGCCCATACACATCTCACAACGTAAATGCGCCACCCACCTTGAGATATAAGTTCTAAGGTCTCAAGTATAGTTACAACGGCTGTCCCACCCTTCAAACCGAAACGCTTTACTGCTTCACGGCAGAAATAGGTAAGGTGGTGGTACCTACCCGCATAGTATCTGGCTTGTCATATCTTTTTGATTCCAATGCGGTTTCACAAAAACAATTAGAAAACTTTCAGAGAAAGGTGCACGCGGCCCGTTAACATTAAGCATATGGAAGTATTCAAAGATGCCAAAAAACCACAAACCGTTTAATCAGATTTGCGAAGTCGGGCCGGTCGCTAGTTTATACAGCAACACAACATTCGTGCCTCGAATTCAACTTTCGTTCAGGGCATCAGTTCGTTTAACTTCTCGCGAGCATACATTGAATTACGTGCTTACTTCATTTAAATTAAAAATAGCATTGGCATCGATGTAACACAGTTCAGTCATTAATTTAAGCATCTTTTAGGAATTATTACTTACTGGTGGTAGAACCACTTATGAATCCGCACGGGTAGGTACCACCCCACCCTGCCTATTTCTGCCGTGAAGCAGTAATGCGTTTCGGTTTGAAGATCGGGGCTGCCGTTGTAACTATACTGAGACCTTAGAACTCATATCTCAAAGTGGGTGGCGGCATTTACGGTGTAGATGTCTATGGGTTCCGGTAACCACTTAACACACCGGGTGGGCTGTAAGCTCGTCTACCCATGTATCCATTAAAAAAAATATTTAAGAGGTAAATAGGTGTAAGTATGTATTGCCAGCTACTGGAAACTACTACATCAATACCGCCACCCACCTTGAGACATTAGGTCGAAGCCACAATTGCACAGGAATAACCGCCCTGCCTTTACATCGAAACCTAAGTCACATGATTGAAAACGTAACGTTCATACACAAGGCATCTATTATCAGGCCAGTACCACATGCGCAGTGCACACGCATTTCATTGTACCAACAAAACGAACACACGCACACATGCAACGGAGTATGCAACTGCGTAGTTCTATTGTGAAACGTGTAGGATGTGCAAAAAAACATTTCAGCAAGTAAAATGTACACGTAAATATTCACGATAAACAAATATGTTTTTCTTTATCTGTTGGCGAAATTTCGCCCTTTGAACCTGACGTTTCGCAAGAGGAAAAACACGAAAGGATTATTTTCATACGATTCGTAAACTTTGTGATTGTATGATTTTCCTTTGTGACTTTTTTTTAATATTTGTTTCAGTTTTATTTACGTAAAAATCATCTGTTATTTCTTATACTTAAAAGGTTATTTGTATCAAGGTTTATTTGCTTTTATCACGATCCGAACACGAGCTCAGAAAAACCATTCATAAAATTTAACTGATTAATTTTAACGATGTCATAATTTACGATTATGATTCTATAAATAATATCGAAAATGTATTTATCTACATAAAATTTATGTTATTATAATATTTCGTGAACTAGCACAGCTGATACATACGTCAACCGTGTCAGAATCGTTGCTCTACTAACATTCTTGCGGCATACGTAAGCGCGCTAAAATTATCAACATCCGGATAAATCCGGGCGGCTAGTTCAATGGATGTACATCGTACGACAACCGCGCCGATTGAAAATCAGGCCACATCCGGTTATTAGCATTCATAAACATTCTTACTAGTTCCGTAAAACGAGACTGCTTCCTCTGATCTATTGAGTATACGGAACGCGGAACTTTAATCGATAAAAACTGATTGATAAATTTAGTAATAGACTTTTGAAATAGAAAGTTTCGCAATGTAAATAGTTAAACGTTTTGTTACTTTTTGTTATATCTTGCTTACGTCCACACAGATATATTCTACATGTTTACGATAATCATGAAACACAAGAAATTACAACTAGAATTTTAAACATACATATTTTAATAAATAAAAAATATTGCCCTAAGAGGCAGACGAGCATACGGCCCACCTGATGGTAAGTGGTTACCGTCGCTCGTGGACGTCAGCAATGCCAGGGACAGAGCCAAGCCGCTGCACATTGTGGACATTCGTTACGAACTAACACACAATTCGCGGCGCTACATAATAACATCTACGTCACAAGTGCAAGCTGTTAGAACCGGCTCCGGTGCCGACAACCTACGGCCGGTATTCGAAGAATGCGACTCGGCCCATACGAACCAAGATTTGCCGTTTCAAGTGTAAACGCAGTCAACGTTTCACATTCCCCATTACTTATTACGGCTTTGATTTGTCCCAACATTAAAACGAACAATTGAAAATTATTTTTCTCAAAAAATAGTATTCGTATTAATTACGATTACAATTCGTTGCACGTAAATTAAGTTTGCATTTTTATCTCAATTTTAAGAAATCTTTCTGTCATTTTTCATTTGTATCGCAAGAATTTTTACTGTATTCAATTAATATTTATAAAATTTCAATCAATCCGTCAAGTCATTCAAGTACTTTTAATTTATTAGTATTGAGTACAAGGCCGTTTTAAATCCATGACATGGAAGTTTAAGTAAAAATGTATAGAAGGTCGAACTTGATCGTAACTGCGCAATTCTAGAGTCGACTATACTTCGAGGAATCCATTAAGGCGATCTCCTTGACGCATTACTGGCTGCAACGCCGCCGGAGAAACCAGTGAACGATTACAATAATTGCAAAACTCACTGTTGTCAAGTACGCCTTTTGTATCAGCGAACATCACACAGCACAAGTT